TCCTGGAGACCCGGGATCGAGTCCCACGTCGGGCTCCCAGTACATGGAGCCTGCTTCTCCCTCTGCCTGTGTCTCTGCTTCTCTCTCTCTCATTCTATGTGACTATCATAAATAAATAAAAATTAAAATAAAATAAAAAAATTAAAAAAAAAAAAAACTTGCAGTGGGAAGGACTGAGTCCAGAGAGATTTCAAGAGGTAATTGATAGACTTGAAATCTGTTGGCTGGGATCCCTGGGTGGCGCAGTGGTTTAGCGCCTGCCTTTGGCCCAGGGCGCGATCCTGGAGACCCGGGATCGAATCCCACATCAGGCTCCCGGTGCATGGAGCCTGCTTCTCCCTCTGCCTATGTCTCTGCCTCTCTCTCTCTGTGTGTGTGTGTGTGATTATCATAAATAAATTAAAAAAATTAAAAAAAAAGAAATCTGTTGGCTGTAGGAAGTAAGAGAGGTGTGAGGGTGACAGTCTAAGATGAAAAATAAATCACTGGGTAATTGGTCATAACCAAGATAGGGCATGCAGGGAAGAAGCAGGTTTGGGAAAAGATGATGTGGCTCCTCCAGGAGGTAATGTCTGTATGTCAGGCCTAGAGCTCAGGAGATATGGATGTGGGAGTCATTGTGACACAGTAATTAAAGGAAAAGAAGTAGATGAAATTGCCTGGGAGAGTACGTGTAATGAGAAGAGAGCCCCAGTGGAAGCTTGATGTGATGTGTGGCAGGTCTTCCAAGATGGCCCCAAGGAATCACGCCTCCCACTCTTCATGCCTTTGTGCAGTCCTCACACTGAATCTGAATTGGCAAGGCTCCATCACTTGATTGTGGGGATGGCTACACAGCAATATACCTCTGCCAAAACTCATCAAACCGTACACCTAAAAAGGGCGAATTTCACTGTATATTAAATATACTTCAATAAACCTGACTTTAAAAGTTGAAAAGAGCAACGAGACAAATGAGAAATTATGTGATATTCTAGTTCTATTGTCTCCAGTGTCCCTGTGAAGCAGGATTTTTAGTGAGGAGAAAATAAGGTACAGATGTAGTTAGAAGGTTGTATAAAAGGAATGTGTCAAAAAAAAAAAAGGAATGTGTCATGTAGAAGAAATGTATTAGAAGTCACATAAAAAATCTTATACTTCTGAATTTGAATTGGAAGGAAGGAAGGAAGGAAGGAAGAAGGAAGGAAAGAGAGAAAGGAGAAGAAAGGAAACAATGACCAATCCAATAGCAACGAACAATTCTAAAACCCAAATATGGCCTTGACATATTTCCCACTAAAAACCCAAAACAAAACAGGGGTTCTTGGTGGGCTCAGTCAGAGGACCTTGAACCTCATGTTGGGCATAGAGAGTACTAAAAAAAATAAATAAACTAAAAAAAAAAAAAAAAAAAAAACCTTCTTGGGGAAAAGGCTGATCTAGGATGAAGGCAGAAAATGTGTGAGTCTGGAAAATCATGTTCTACTGGAGAAAGAAAAAAATCTGTCAAAAATTAATAGAGTAAAAAAGAATTGATAGAGTCATGTTAGAAGGTTTTGGGAACTAATTTGAAGAGGTTGCTGTTGGCCAACGATGGGGCAGTTTTAAGCATCAACACAGATTAAAATATGTTTAAATCCATGTATTTCATGATGACATTAAAGAGAAATGCGGTCATCTTGAAAGGATGCTTGAGGAGCAACTTGTTGCCTTGAAAACTGGTAAATAAAGAGATTTAAGGACTGATCTTACCTGGGCTGCCTGGGTGGCTCAGTTGGTTAAGTGCCTGACCCAAGTTAGGCTCACTTAAAAAAAGAAAGAAAAACTGATCTTGCCTTTCCCATGACTGTGTCACTGGGTGGCCAAATAAATGATGAGGGAAAGTTTCTCTTTATAGAAGCATTTCAACAACAAATTAAGGAGGGGTGATAGGATGTTGATAGAATATCAACATTTCACAACCCCAGATGAATTAAGCCTCAGTGCCTACTGGCAACTCAAAGAGAAAGCGACCTGGACACTATGTGCTTCAGGAGACATCACAACAAAGGAGTCTTCCTCCCTCCTCCCCCCCAAAAATCCAACCTGAGTATGATAAAACCTCCAGACTCAACTAACAATTCGCAGGCAGTACAGAGGGCAGCGGATAATGATAAATACCTACATTAGGAAGCTGCAGCCAACAAGATCCTGATTCCAGGAAATGCTACAGGACAAGTGATCTGGTTGGTTGTTTTTTAAGATTTATTCATTTATTTGAGAGAGAGAAAGAGAGAGAGAGAGAGCAGGGGAGAGGGGCAGAGGGAGAGGGAGCGAGAGAATCTTAAGCAGGCTGCACACCCAGCACAGAGCCCAACTGGGGCCTTGATATCACAACCTAAGATCCTGACCCGAGTGGAAACCAAGGCTCGGACGCTTAACCGACTCCACCACCCAAGCTCCCCGATCCATTTTTTTAAACAAGTAAACTGCAAGAGGGAAAAAGAGGTAAAGGGGAAACTTAAAGATTTAAAGATCTGAAAGACATGTTTTAAGAAAAAAACAAAAACTATTGTGTTTAAGGATGCAGAGCTGGACAATAAAACTGCAAATAAAAGAAGGTAAAAATGGGGGCACCTCGGTGGCTCAGCAATTGAGCGGCTGCCCTCGGCCCAGGGTGTGATCCTGGGGTCCTGGGATCGAGTCCCACATCGGGCTCCCTGCACGGAGCCTGCTTCTCCCTCTGCCTGTGTCTCTGCCCCCCTCTCTGTGTCTCTCATGAATAAATAAATAAAATCTTTTAAAAAAAAAAAAAAGAAGGTAACAATGAACATAAAATTCAGGGCAGTGGTTGCCCTTTGTGCTGAGGGAGGGGATTTGTGTTTAGGTCATAGGAATGGTTTCTGGAGTGACTGGCAAGGTGCTGCCGTTTTTCACAGAGGGTGATTACTGGGGTGTTTGCTTTATAATCACGTATTATATCTGCATATTGGTTTAATGCTTTTTAAAAGGATTTGTTATAATCAAAAAATATTTTAGGTTTTAGGTGGTGCCGTGAAGGTGTCTCCATTCCCATCTCCTAAAACAAGAACAGGAGGCACCTGGGTGGCTCAGCGGTTGGGCACCTGCCTTCGGCCCAGGGCGTGACCCCAGGGTCCTGGGATCAAGTCCCGCATCGGGCTCCCTGCATGGAGCCTGCTTCTCCGTCTGCCTGTGTCTCTGCCTCTTTCTCTGGGTCTCTCATGAATAAATAAATAACATCATAAACATTTTTTTAAATAAAACAAGAACAATAAGAGAAACACACCCATGTGATCTGAATTTTCCAAGCACTGATCTGTAAGGGGCCCTGAAAACATCATTGGAATAAATTTGAAACGTTGCCAGTTCAGTTGGGATTTCACCTGACTCATCACAGAACTGACTAAAAGCACACAACCCTTTTCAGAGAAATAAAAAGTCCTGCCTTGCAAAAACAGACGAATCCTGAGTGACTAATTTTGTGACCTGATTGTACCACTTGTGCTGTACAACTAAAAGATGAGCCTCCAGCCCCAAGATCTTCCGGCTGACAGTTTCCTGCAGTCTGATGGCCTCAACCAATGAACTCCTCGTACTGGGAAAGTATAGTGCAGGACTAGTCACTGCGTGTCAGTTATTTCGTTACCTAAATTTCGGAGTTTTATATGTCTCCTAAAATGTAATGTGACACCACCACCTTGGAAAACTGGCAGTTTCTAATAAACTCAAACATATGCCCTGTGACCCAGCGAATTCCAAGTAATGTCCCAAGAAAAATTAAGACATGCATCCATGAAAAATTGTACACAAATAGTAGCTTTATTCACAATAGCCTGAAAAGATCTGGAAACAGTCTGAACATCCATCAATAGGAGAATGGATAAACAAATTATGCTATATCCTTATAGTGGAATTCTGTTCAGCAATATTATATGCAGTGACGTAGATAAATCTCAAAAATATGGTGAATGAGGGGCACCTGGGTGACTCAGTCATGTAATGTCCAACTCTTGATTTTGGCTCAGGGCTGCGAGATCAATTGAGCCCCGCGTAGGCCTCTGCACTGGGCACGGAGCCTGCTTGAGATTCTCTTTCTCCCTCTCCCTCCGGCCCTCCCCACTTCCCTCTCTAAGACAAAAACAAAAACAAAAACAAATGAGCAAAAAATATGCTGAATAAGGGACCTCTGACTGGCTTAGTCAGTGGAGCCTGTGACTCTTGATCTAGGGGTTGTAGGTTCAAGCCCCGCACTGGGTGTAGAGATGACAACAATGACCAAAAAAAAAAAAAAAAAAATGCTGGATGAAAGAAGCCAGACCCCACCCTCATTCATATTGTATGACTCCATTTACCTGAAGTCCAACTACAGCCAAACCTAACCTATGGTAATAGTCAAAATCACGGTTATCTCTGGAGTATGAAAAAAAAATTATCCTTCCCGGGACGTTTTCTGGTTTAGGAAATTAGATGTTATAAATCCCTTAGTTTGTGTAACTTGCATTAATAGAAAACTAGTTTCTCTCCACCCTCACTAAATACTGCTGAACACTCACGGAAACCTGTTCATTGAAGGGTCACCACATTCCCATGTGAGCCCTGAGAGGAACTGCCATCCCTGTGGGGAAGGAGGGACGTGGAGAAGAGAAGGGAACATACCATTGAGGGAGTGATGGGGAAGGTGGACCTTGAATGCAGAAGTACCCGGAGGTCACCAGGCCCAGAGGGGCCACTTCTCCTGAGCCCTCCCTGGGTGGAGAGATTTTGGGGCAACGGGGCCCTTCGGGGAGTGGAAGCTAGGAGCTGGGGCCCGGGAGCCCTGCTTCCCACCAAAGCCAGTCTCAGCAACTAGGGGGCAGACTTGCAGCAGCCCTAGAGAATGCTTCCAGAAATGGAGAAGCTGGAGGCAAAATTAGGCATCTGGCCAATAAAAAGAGGCGAGAAGAGGTATAGGCCAGAAAAGGCACAGGAAATATGGGCTCAGCAGAGCTGATAGACAAGAATGAGGGTGTGGACAGGCCAGGAGCGTGACGCTACTGAAAACTGCTGAGATGCAGGGTGAGGAAGGCTGCCCGGCCCCCCAGAACCTGACCTTGCCTCTGACAAGAGTACCTGGGGTGCAGCTACGGCAAAGAAGAACCTGTAAGCCCCGGTGTTCAAACATTGATGAAGGTTGGGGGTGCGGGGGGTAGAATCAACTGGGGAAGAACAGATTTCTGAGGGAACCTCCCAGGAAAGTTGGAGGGGATCCAGAAGCAAGTACAGACAGAAAATGGGGGTGGCCTAATAAAAATAGAGGTATGACTTTGCAGGGGAGTGGTGAAGAAATTCTCCCCGGTCAGTGAATGGATGATCAGGATCTTACCAGCTTGCTTTTTTTCCTGATCTTAAAGCTTTGATCCCAATTAAAATGTAATGCCCAAGACAAATGAAATGCTTGGGGTACTTGCCAGTCATGTATATTACCGTGTGAATAAGTGATTTATTAGGCAAATGTTCATTGAACATCTACTTTGGTGGAGCTAGAGCTTGCATTCCAGCGGGGCCGGGCCCACGACACACAAGTAAACACGGAAATCAAAATTTCAGGTAGTGAAAGGGCAATGGGAGCAAAGGAGTCAGGAAACAACAAAGAGAAAGGCTGGGTGGGTTGAGAGTCCTCAGGAAAGTGTGTCAGGGTAAAGGAGTCCGCAGGGCAAAGGTCTGTGGGAAGAACCTTCCAAATAGAGGGGACAGCGGTACGAGGGTTCAGGACCGTGTCGTTTCGACTTTGTAAGTTCCAGAATCAGGAGTTGGATGTTACCCTATTTGCAGTGAGAGGTCAATAGAGAGGTTAAAAGAGGAGAGTTGTCTGACCTCATTTACATTCTTAAAAATGCTCAGTAGAGCATCAGCTTTAGGGAGGGAAGAGTGGAAGCAGAGAGACCAATTAGGGAGCGATTGCAATCACTTTTTTTTTTTTTAAGATTTTTTTTATTTATTCATTTGAGGGAAAGAGAGCAAGCACAAGCAGTGGGAAAGGAGAGGGAGAGGGAGAAGCAGCCTCCCAGCAGGGAGCCCAGCCTGGAGCTGACCCCAGGACCTGGAGATCACGACCTGAGCCAAAGGCCCCGCTCAACCAGCTGAGCACCCCCAGGCGCCCCAGCTGCCGTCACGTCTGATAAGAGAGAGACCATCATCTGTGATGGTGGTCATAGAAGTTGCTGAGAGATGGCCAGAAGGGGTGAGATCCCAGAGGCGGCTTTGCAGGAGGATGCGGAGGTAAGCAGAGGCACAGGTGAGTGTTGGATGATTAGCTCCCTCGGCTGCGCATGGCAGGGCTGTAACCGAAAGGAGGGAGGCTGCAGAACCAGCTGGTGGCCTTGGGACTGGAGAGGTCCATTCTGGACATGTTAAGATTGGGATGCCTAGTAGAAAAAAAATGCATTAAAAAAAAGATTTTATTTATTTATTTATTCCAGAGAGACCCAGGGAGAGAGGCGGAGACCCAGGCAGAGGGAGAAGCAGGCTCCCTGCGGGGAGCCCGATGGGGGACTCAAACCTGGGACCCTGGGGTCACGCTTTGGGCTGAGGGCAAGGCTCCACTGTTGAGGCCCCCCACCCAGGCCCCCCTGGTAGATAGTCAATGGAGTAGGCAGTTCTGGAAGCAGGGGAGATGTGACTGGTCAATGCCGTTGCATTTGGGTGATACAGGTGCTGCCAGAGGGAGCACAACATATGAAGGGCGTTGAAAGCCATCTGCCAAGTAGGATCTTGTGGAGACAGAGTGTAGACCAGGCAGGGAGCCCAGCAGGAGCCCCAAGAAAGGGAACTGGAGGGGTGAGGCATGGGAGGGGAGCCTGCCAAGGAGCCCAGGAGGGAGCCGGCCCAGCTTTGCAGAAACCAAGAGCCGAGAAAGTATTTCAAGCCAGGAGAGGGTGTGGCCCAGGCCAAAGCCGCTGAGTAAGAGGGAGAAGGGACGGTGACCTTGACAGGGGTGGGTCCAGGGAGTGCAGCTGAAAACCCACCAGGCCCGAGCTTTTGGTAAAAAGGAAAACTTGTGTGAGGTCAGACCTTCTGGGAGAGAGAAAGACCCGGAGAGGTCAGAAAAGGTCTATCAGGGACACTAGAAATAGGAGGTTCCCAACCTGGGTGAACGTCACAGTCACCTAGGAACTTAAAAAATAAACACAAGTTTCCAGTCCCCTCCCAGATTTACTGAATTCCTAGCAGTGGGAATCGGAATACCTATGGGTGTAAATTATTATTATTTGTTTTATTGTCATTAGTTTTGAATTTAGTTTTTACTAATGGAATCTACATATTTTTTTTAGATTTTGGTTTCTGTTGAGGTATCATTGACATTGGAATCTATATTCTTAAAAAGCTCCTTCAGTAATTCTGATTTAGCTCATTAGTCTAGAAGGAGAGCTGGGCAGGAATAGTCCCACCAAAACAGAAGAAATACCTTCTCCTGGTTGGGGGGCGGTGTAGGAGGGTAGGTGTTAATAGACAGAACTTTTAAGTTTTATGTTTCTCTCCCCTAAATGTCTTTGTCAGCCTCTAGAGCTTGCTGTCACTTGTCTTCTGCTGAACTTCAATAGAACGCAAAACGGATGTTAACAAAAAAACTCAGAAACGGGCTTCCAGGCTTAGACACCCGGCTCTTTTTCACCGATGGGGATCGTGGCTGTGATCAGAGGAAATTCTTTCCTGCCCCAGTGGAATTTTATTTTTTATTTCTTTTTATTTTTATTTTATTATTATTTTTTGGAATTGAGTTTTGTACTGGATAGTGGAGTTTTTTTCAGCAATTTTGACAGTGTTGGGTAAATGGCACATGGACTTTTGGGTGCTCTGCCCTGAGAACAGGTTTGGGGATGCTGGAGGGGAGGGAGCCCTGAAAGCCTTCTGCACTCCTCCGTCCCCCTCCCGGCTCACTGAACTTCTCCCCATATCCTTCCTCCTCTCTCTCTCTCTCTCTCCCCCTAGCTCCCTCCCCACCCCACCACCTCTCTCCCTCTCTGCCCTGGTTATTAATATCCTCAAGGGAGCCCAGAAAGTTAAACCCAAGTCCCCCCTGGAGTTCAGCTGGCAGGAAGAAAATCCCGAAATGGGAGTAATTTGATACGTCTGGAAGCAGGGAAAACAAAATTTAAAATAGAAGCTTCCTTCCAAGAGGCAATTATAATAATGTCTTACGGCTTTACATCACTTGGCAGGCTGTAATGCGTTGTTAGGTTCATTACTTCATTTGATCTTTATATCAGTCCTGGGAGAAACTGTGCTCTTATCAACTTCCCGTGATTAAAAACATGAAACAACAACAAAACAGAACATAAAGAAACATAACAGACAAATACATGAAGGCTTAGAAGGGTAAAGACCATTCCCAAAGGTGCTTCGGGTAGGAAAGTACAGCCTTCTAAGCGACTTGTTCACATCCACGGAGCAAAAAAGCGCATGACTTCAGCAAGGAGAGGGACCAAACGATGGCTACTTGGCCCACTCGGGATGGCCCCCCCAGGGAATGGGGGGGGGAGTCAGCCCCTAAAGTTGACATAGTCTATGATCTCATTTACATAAAATTCTTGAAATGCCGAAGTCTTCAAGACCCCATGGTCCAGCGGTTGGGTATGGAAGGAGGTAGGGCAGGAGGGGGGTGGGTGCAGCTGTGACCCAAGGCATCTTGGTGGTGCCAGAATTGCTGAATATCTGCACTGTGACAGTGGAGACAGGACACTTCACGTGTGAAAAAGCACATAGATCCAAATGCACACACACGCACAAGTACAAGCAAAACGGGAGAAATCTAGGTAGATGGACTCCATCACCATCAACATCCCGGTTGTGATATTTTACTACAGTTTTGCAAAATGTTACCATTGGGAGAAACTAGGTAAAGGGTAGACAAGCTCTCTCTGTTTAATTTCTTACAACTGCATCTGAATCTATAATTATCTCAATAAAAACTCCATTTAAAAAAGTGAATGAGTCAGGGTGTGTCTCTGTTTCTTGCCTGCGCCTCATTCATCCTCCCCACGCGTGACGGAGCGATGGGCGACCTTATTCTTGGAATCCTCAGTTTGGTTCATCGCTCCTTGAGTGAGGGACTTGGAGACCAGGCTACATCCACATTTGACCCTGGTTATTAAACCAGGCGGGGCAACAGCTTCCCCAGAACGACCAAACTCCCAGCGCGTTTCCTACATTGAGAACCAAGGGGAACTTCTGTTCCATACCAAGCACTGCGACATCTTAATGGGCCTGAGCTGCTATTCCAAGGCGCACACCCCTGAGATTTCCCTGACTTTGGGGGCTCGGCTGCTTGCTGCGGGACAGTGTGAAGGGTAGAGAGGAGGGCTGGCCACAGAGCCCTAGATCTGTGGGGTGGGGCAACAGGGGTTGATGATGGGGGTGGTGATGCTGTCTCAGTGATTCCTCAGAGGCTGAGGCTGGGCCTCTCACCTCTACCCACACCAAGCCTCAGATTTTATTTATTTGCCTTTTCCTTCTCCTATTCTCTTCCTATCACTGAATTTTAGCTGTTTCTCTCTCTCCTGTGCCACCCCTGCTGTCTTTTCTGTCTCTTTTTCTTGACTTTTTCTTTTTTTTTTTCCTGTTTGGCTATATTTTTCTACCATGACAACATTTTAATTAATACACAGATTTTTTTTTAAAGATTTTATTCATTCATTCATGAGACACACACACACACACACACACACACACACACAGAGAGAGAGAGAGAGAGAGAGAGAGAGAGAGAGGCAGAGGGAGAAGCAGGCTCCATGCGGGGAGCCTGACATAGGCCTGGATCCCTGGACTCCAGGATCACGCCCTGGACCAAAGGCAAGCGCCAAACTCCTGAGCCACCCAGGGATCCCCTCAATATTACTTTCCTTAAAGTGGGAGCAGTAATGCCCAAGTTCTAGAGTGATTGGGAGGGTCACATGTAAACGTCTTGCACATTATAAATGCTCCGTAAACGATAGCTATTAAATTCTACTAGCGTAAGCCCAGGCCGCGGCTCTCCAGCCAGGGGCGCACTGGAATCACCTGGGGAGATCTAAAAGATCCCGGGGCCTGGGCTGGCTCCACCCCCAGAGACTCCGGTTTAATAGGTGCGAGGTGCAGTCTGGGCATGGGAGCGTACAGACCCTGCAGGTAAGTGTGGTTTGCGAGATGCCACAGCATCACCTGCAGGCTGTGTTACAACAGTCTCCTGGGCCCCATCCCCACTTGAGAGCTTAAATCTTGCAGACAACCTTCAGACTTGCCGGCTGGGCTGCCGTACTGAAAATAACATTTTTATCGACTCCCTATGATGTCCTAGACATTAACACTAACTGCCTTACAGGCAGTGTGTGTCCCTTCATCCCCACAACAACCCTATTATTTTTCATTTTACAGATGAAGAGTCTGAGGCTCAGAGCGTAAGTGACTTGTTCCAGGTCCCACAGCTGCTAAGTGGATGAGCCAGTTTGGGCTCCCAAGGGCATCCTCTGAGTCAAGACTCTCCAGGGTCTCTTCTCTTCCAAAAGCAACTGTTCTCCTGTCTTACAGAGACCTCCCGGCCTCTCGGCCAACATCAATCATCCTGCCTCCGTCCTCTGTCTGCAAGCCACGTGGAGGGTGGACACCTGAGAATTTGCTTTTCTAACAAATTCCCGAGGTGATGGGGATGCAGTTGGACTGGGGACCCAGGGCTTGAGAACCACTAACCTAGAAGAGGTGGGGAGGGGATGGAAAGGTGAAGGGGTGCTTGTCGTGACATCCCACATCCAGAGATCACAGTGGTTCTCAGGTGACTCCCAAATCCTTTGCTTCCAAGAGCAGCACGGGGTTCCGAGCTTGGGTTTCACGGCCTGATAAACGTGTTGGTCGCAGTGGCTGGGAGACGTGATTAAACGGCCCAGGATCTGGGAGGTGGGAGGTGGCCTGGGGAGGGCAACTGGCAGCTCTTGCAGCACGAAGCAGAAGGGCCGCCTTTGCCTCAAGACCCACCACATGAGGACCGAGTAGTCCCACCAGGAAACACGGGGGTCTTGCAAAGTCTTGCACAATGCTAGGCGGACAGTTGTGTCCTGGTCAAGGCCCACTCAGGGTCCCCCGCCCTGGCTCTCAGGTCCGCACGGTGGACACCGTGGGTGACTCTCACTATCCCTCCTGGAACGCTTGCAACTTCAAAGACATGGATGGGGAGCGCGAAGTTTGTCGGAAAGCCCTGAGCCACCCTGGATGTGCCCTGGTGGGCTCTCCCCCTGCCCAGGCCCCGGCAACTCCAAGGCCTCCGGGGTCTGGGGATGAGCTGGGCCGGAGGGGCGACCTAGGGGCGAGGTCGCAGGGGAGCGGGTGCGCTGCCGCCAGCACAGGGCGCCTGGGCCCATGGAGCTGAGCACCCACGGGGCTGGGAACAGTGAGGCCCTGCAGAATGTGACCCAGAGAATGGGGTGACAGGGGGACTGGCCAGCTGCAGGATTCTAACTCGCAACCACGGGGAGTTTAGAGAGATGGGTGGCCTTGCGGGCACAGATCATCAGTTTAGTCTGGAACACACAGAATTTCTCTCGTGTACAGGCCATAGCCGAGTGGGGACGCCACAGAGCCCAGGTGATTGACGAAAGGTGACCGGTAACAGCGCAGTGCCTCCCAAACCCTGTGGCCCAGCTCGTGGAGAGGTCCCCTGTTCTCCGACAAGGCAAGGCGTTAGCAGGTGACACGCGGGCCTAAGGCAGGTGGTGCGGCCTGGAGCCCGGCCTGGGCCAGAGGCTGCAGCCGTGCGTGGTGTGCTTGGATGGGGAGGCCCGGCTCGGCGGCCGGTGACAGGGTGGCCTCCGAGGACCCACGAGGACCACGCAGGCTGGGGCGGCCTGTCAGAGGGCGGGAGCAAGAGCCGGGCGGGCCTTCCCGTAGAAACCAGCCAGAAGGCAGTGACAAGGGGAGACCTCAGAGGAAGGAGCGGGACAGGGCCCTGGCCTTGACCCTTCATGGGTGACCTTGGCCAGGGTGAGTTCCGGAACGTCCGGGGACCCAAAGAGCAAGATCACTGCTAGGTCGAGAGAGGCACTGGGAAAGGAGGACGGTCAAGGTAGTGGCTAGAAGAGCCGGAAAAAGCTAAGGCTGGATCTCAAGGAGCACCAGGAAAAGGCTTCCTTAATGAGAGGGAAGGTTTGAAAATACAATTTTTTTAAAAAATACAATTAAAAAAAAAAAATATATATATATAGGGCATTTGAGTGACTCAGGGCTTGAGCATCGGCCTTCAGCTCAGGTTGTGACCCCCGGAGTCGTGGGATTGAGTCCCACGTCAGGCTCCCCGCAGGGACCCTGCTTCTCCCTCTGCCTGTGTCTCTGCCTCCCTCTCTCTCTCTGTGTGTGTGTGTGTGTGTGTGTCTCTCATGAATAAATAAATAAAATCTTAAAAAAATAAATAAAATAAAAAATAATAAAAAATATATACATGTATTTTTATATTTTATATATATATAATTTTAGTCATCTAATCTTTCGTATTTTGAAATCGCTTAAGTAAGCATGTGGGAAGGGTAACAATGTAATGAATGTCAGTGCATTCACCGCCCACCTGTGTCATATCTTAACGTTTTGCCACATTTTACACACATGTATGCTTTTTGTTAAAAAAAAAAAAAAACACATCATGCTTAAAGTTTCCGGTGGTGAATACTATCACCCGCCTTCTTGGAGTCCACTGAGATAATGATCTGATTTACCCCTAAGTGCAGTGGCCCTCTGCCTCTTGTGATGCCTGCGGTACAAACCTGCTTAGACAGGGTGGGGAGGGCTTGGTTGTGTCTGTGTAACAGAGTTGGGTTACACCCTCATTCAAAAACAGGATTAACCTGTACATTTTTTCCCTTCTGCTTATCCTCCTCAAGCTTTTAGAATTAAAACCACACAAGCCTCATATTGAGCCGAGGGAACAAACTTTCAGTTATAAGATGAATAATTTATAGCATGGTGACTATAGCAATAATAGACTATATACTTCAAATTTACTAAGCGTATATCTCTAGTGTTTTCACTACACAGAGGCACACACAATGAAAACCATAGTATCATTTCACAATGAATATGCATATCAAAACGTCATGCTGTACACCTTAAATTATAGTTTTTATTTTTCAGTCATACCTCAATAGAACTGGAAAAAATAAACATATTAATCTCATAAAATAAGCAACATTGTAAAACATATCCCTGTCTTTATTTTTTTTTAAAGATTTTATTTATTTATTCATGAGAGACACAGAGAGAGAGTCAGAGACCCAGGCAGAGGGAGAAGCAGGCTCCCTGCAGGGAGCCCGATGTGGGACTTGATGCCAGGACTCCAGGATCACGCCCTAGGTGGAAGGCGTGCTAAACCTCTGAGCTACCCAGGGATCCCCCAAGTTTTTCTCTAAATACTGACTTAATAGCATCTGATATGTATATTTTAATTTTTGTTATTTAGAAAACTGATGATGGGCTGCCTGGGTGGCTTAGTCGGTTAGGCCGACTAACATTTTATTTTGGCTCAGGCCATGATCTCAGGGTTGTGGAATTGAGCCCTGTGTAGCCTGCTCAAGGTTCTCTCTCCCCTCTCTCTCTGCCACTCCCTTACCCTGCTCAGGCTCACATGTGCTTTCTCTATATATAAATTAAAACATTAAAAAAGAAAAACCTGATGATATTGTGAGCGAATTTGCTTTTTAAAAAAACTTTTAAAGATTTTATTTACTTATTTGAGAGAAAGAGAGCATGAGCAGGAGGAGGGGGAGAGAGAGAGGGAGAAGGTCAAGCAGACTCCCCACTGAGTGGGGAGCCCAATGCAGGGCTTGATCCCAAGACACTAAGATCATGCATGACTTGAGCTGAAGTCAGATGCTTAGCCAATTGAGTCACCCAGGAACCCCAAAGATTTGCTTTATTTTATTTTATTTTATTTTATTTTATTTTATTTTACTTTAATTAATTA